GTAGACAGAAAACTGTGCAAAAGAAAGACAGACAGACCTGAAGAGCCAACAATGAGAAACAGCAGACCCAAGTCACCAGATGAGATCTGGACGTCACCAAGCTTCTAGAGTCAAGGCTCCTGGGGCTGGAGAGGCAGCGCAGTGGGTAAGAGGCACACTGCTCCTGTGGAGGAACCACAGCTCTTCAGCTGACCTCAGTTCCAGCTCCAGGGCATCTGGCGCCCTCTTTTGTCCTACACGTGTAACTGCTCTCACAAATGCACACAAACACACACAGACACAAACATTTATACTTAATTAAAAATAATGCAAAATAAATCTTTCTTAAAATACAAGGGTCCTGGTACTCTAGGCCTGACAGCTGCAACCGCCGCATGTGTGACAGGTGACCCTGACCATGGCTGCAGCTGAGGATGCAAACACCAGAGCTGCAACCCCCGCATGTGTGACAGTTGACACTCACAATGGCTGCAGCTGAGGATGCAAACAACCCCCGCATGTGTGACAGTTGACCCTGACCATGACTGCAGCTGAGGATGCAAACATTCAGAGCTGCAACCCCTGCATGTGTGACAGGTGACCCTGACCATGGCTGCAGCTGAGGATGCAAACACCAGAGCTGCAACCCCTGCATGTGTGACAGGTGACCCTGCATGGCTGCAGCTGAGGATGCAAACACCCAGAGCCCTCCTCAGGGCTCTGACACCAGCATGTCATCTGTGGCTGCTGTCAATCAATCACTCTTGCTGGAAGCTGAGCATCTCATGGCTGTCAGGTGCTGGAGCTGCTGCCAGCTGACGCCCAGAGCCAAGGCCAGGTGTGTACAGCTGTGACCCCAGGAAGGAGAGGAGAATCCAGGTCAGCCTCAGCTGCAGGGAGTCCTTAAGGCCCTGTGCAGCCAGGCAGGGAATTTTTCACCACCCTGGCTGTGGGGCAGCCTAGGCCCATTTACCACAGGGTCTCCAGAAGAAGTGACCACAAATTCCCAGGCCCGTGCTCACAGTCACTTCATTCTGAACACCTTCTCCTTCATTCCCATGGAATTTTGTGTAAGACTGTGATATTTGGAGGGTTAGCAATGGATAGAAACCTACCCAGGGCCGGCCACAGAATCACAGAGACAAACCCTGGCAGGAATTGGTCTGTTCCTAAAGCCAGATGAACTCAACAGGAGACCACCAGACTGGGACATCGATGGGGGGAGCGTTCCACTACCTGGGAAAAGTGGAGACTGGGGTGCATTAGAACTTCTATTGCAGAGGTCACTCTCCCTTCTCTTGTGTTTCTGGATTTCTCTTGTATAACCTCTGCACTGTGGTGCAGGTTGGTGAGCTCTGAGTTCTAAACGTCTTAGTGGTAAAAGCATCTAAAGAGCTTAGAGGAACCCGTGCAGCTCACAGTGGGACCAGAGCCTGGAAGGACCCCTCAGTGGCCTGCCCCAAGGGTGTGTGAAATGCTAGTCCAGGTGTTGGGGAGATGGCTCAGCTGGTAGGGTGCTCTTTCTTAGGATCCAGGTCAGTTCCCAGCACCCTCATTGGGTGTTCTCAATCACCTACAACTCCAGCTCCAGGGATCTTATGCTCTCAGGGCCTCGGCTGGAAACTGCACACATGAGGCATAGACTCACAAAGATACAGACACATACACATAAGTGAAATACAAATAAATCTCTATATAGGTTTGTTTTTATTGTGATATAAGTACATTTGCCACTCAGAAAGTCTCACCTGCATTTCCTCAGCCTCTGCTGCCCCCTTGTGGCCAAAATATGACACAGCAACCAGCTCTCAACTAGGCAGCTGCCCATTGAATTCCCTGTTGCATCCTTTGCAGAGCTTTCACAGAGGTGTGACCAGGACTCCCCTCTCCCTTTCCTCACTCCCACGTCCTCTTCTGCACAGACAGCCTCATTCTGACCCCACCAACCTCCACCCACTCCTCATCCCCCCCACAACACTCCAAAGCTCTTCCCTCTCTCCATCCCTCACCACGCCACCCTCTCCACCCCTCCATCCTGCCCTCCATTGTCCCCTCACTCTGCAGTCCCCTCCCTCCCACAGCTCCCGAAAGGACTGATGGGGAGGAAGGCTGGACACTGTGCCCAGCCTGAGCATAGGAGGAGACGCTGGTCCAGATACTGTGCACACCTTACTCTGTGCAACCAGGAATCCAGCTTTCCCACGACACCAGTTTCTACTCTACAAGGGTCAGTAGAATAACTAAATAAAATTACTACTTTATCCAGGACAGTTAAATTTTTCTGTGACAACAAATACACATTCTTGTCCACGTATATCCATCACAACTCAGTGCTGTCTTGTTGGTAACAAGGCAGCCATACGCACTCTACAAATCAGTGAACACCATGGGGTTTCCAATAAAACTTTATTTGTGGATTACGGCAACTGGAATTTCATCTTTTCACATAGCATGTCTAGATCTCATCCAAATACTGTTGGACACTTTACATTAAATATAATCATGAGCTCACAGGCCACAGAGAAACAGTCAAATTCAATTTGTCTCACAGTTTTTTTTCAAACTCTCACTTGAAGAAACACAATTATTAATAAACTGACAACATAATAAAAAGGAAATTCTTTTAAAGTTTATCTAATTACATTTTATGTATGAGTGCTGTCTTAGTTAGGGTTTCTATTGCTGCGATGAAACACCATGACCCAAACACAAGCTGGGGAGTAAGGGTTTACTGGGCTCACACTTCAGCATTGCTGCTCAGCACTGAAGGAAGTCAGGACAGGAGCTCACACAGGGCAGGATCCCAGAGGCAGGAGCTGACGCAGAGGTCATGAAGGGGAGCCGCTTCCTGACTCTGCCTGCTGTCTGAGAGAACCCAGGACACCAGCCCAAGGCTGTCCCCAGCCGCTGTGGACCAGGTTCTCCCTCACTAATCACTATTGAGACTGTGCCTTACACCTGGATCTCATGGAAGCATTTCCTAAACTGAGGCTCCTTCCTCTCTGAAGACTCTAGCTTATGTCAACCTGACACAGAAAACCAGCCAGTGCTGCTGACCCCTATCAACCTGACACATAAACCATCACTATTCAGACACAACCCTCCCGTTCTCACATGATCTCACATGAAAATCAAAAATAATTTTAAAAGTCCAGTCTTTACAAATTCAAACATAATAAAAATTCAATCTCTTTAGAATATCTATTCTCTTTAAATATTCAAAATCTCTTTTAAAAGTTCAAGTATTTCATCTATGGGATTCTTTAAAATTCAAAAGTGGCAGTGAACATTTAATCCCAGGACTTGGGAGGCAGAGGCCGGTGTTATCTCTGTGAGTTCAAGGCCAGCCTGGTCTACAGAGCGAGTTCCAGAATACCTAGGGCTGTTACACAGAGAAACTCTATCTTGAAAAAGGAGAGAGAGAGAGAGAGAGAGAGAGAGAGAGAGAGAGACTAAATACCTTCTTCAAGAGGGAAGAACCTAGGCACTGTCCCAATCTAATCCAAGCAAAGCCAATCTCAACAGTAGAAAAACTCACTGTCGAGTTGTCTGGGACTCACTCACAACCATCTGGACCCCTGCGAAGGGCTATGGTCTCTTCTCCAGCTCTGCCCGCTGCAGCTCACACAGCTCCTCTTCTAGGCCCCGCTGGCTCCACTCACTGCTGCTGCGGTTCCTGGTGATCTTCCATGGTGCTGGTGTCTCCAAAACACCTGGGCTGCACTTCCACCAATGGCCTCTCACAGGGTCTCGTGGTGCCAAGCTTCAAATCCTCGTCACGACCCCTTTAGTCCTGGGCCTCCACTGCCACGGAGGCTGCACCTTCACCAGCTGCCTCCCCTGGCCTCTCACAGTGCAGACCTCACCTGCCCTCCATGACTCCTTCATACCCTCAAAACCAGCTCCACCTGGCTGACAGTCACGCATTACCAAATCTGCATCAGGACTGTTTGCACAGCTGGCAGTTGACAAAAAGCAGGAAGCTTTTTGAGAGAACTATGCCCATATTACCAAATATTGTCTATAAATGTTTGCTTACATTTAAAGGGGGATAAGCTATGGAGATGGATACTCTGCATTGCTATGGATCTTGCTCTATCGATACAAATTGAAGGTCAATTTTGTTATATTTCTGTTCTTGGTTAAGGTATTATGTTTGTACAGCTCATTTTAAAATGTAGTGTATAATTAAGAAATATAGGTTACTTGATAATCATCTATAATAGTCAAGCTTGTAGTCATGTTAGTTAGGTTTTCTAAATATATAGAGATATATTTCCGTTAGATAGGTATTCTTCAGATCTTTCAGAGACCTTCAGAATATGGCATTTGAAATGTTTTAGGAGCTTAGGATTTTCGTGACAATGAGACACATCTGCACTTAGAAGCACCAAAAGCTTCAAGAGGAAGATTGGCACCAAAGAGGCTCTGTATGGAGTTAGCTAGCCATGTGGGCAACAGATTGCTCTTGCCTGGACTGCTTGATGTTATGCTGTATGAACTGGACATGCAGAACCCACAGAAAAATGACGCTAAAGCTGCCTAAGGAACGTGAGACGATCCTTTGGGGTTCCTGCTTCATGAAAGAGTCTGCCAGACATTCTGCAGGACACTGATTGACAAACTGCTAATACAGGCAGAACTGTCTTTGAAATTTCCTGCTTCATGGGAAAGTCTGCCAGATACTATGGGCCTGTGGGCTGAAGATGGGTACCCCAGTGATACAGAAGAACTTTGGGTGACTTCATCCAGGCATGAGATGTCTCTGTCAATTCTACAGTTTTAAAAGTTGCTTACAATGCACTTCCTGTTACTTACAATGCACTTCCTGTTACTTAGGTAATATCACATCCTTCTGGAATCTTAAATGGAGTTGAAGAATAGATAGTAATTGGGCTGAAGAGATGGCTCAGAGGTTACGAGCACTGGCTGCTCTTCTAGAGGTTCTGAGTTCAATTCCCAGCAAGCCCATGGTGGCTCACAACCACCTATAATGAGATTTGATGTCCTCTTCTGGTCTGCAGGCATACGTGCAGGCAGAACACTGTATATATAGTAAATAAATAAATAAATCTTAAAAATAATAAAACTAAATTAAAAAAGAGATAGTTTTTCTTAGTTATGATAAAAGATAAAGGAGCTATAAATACTATAACTGTAATTCTTGCTTGATAACTGTTTTGTTATATATAATTTTACAATGTTAAAGTTATAAACTTCCTTTTTATTTAAACAGAAAAGGGAAAATGTGTTGTGGGAAATCCTTCTGTCTATGTGTTGCTTTTTTTTGTTAATGAATAAAGAAACTGCTTTGGCCTATAGCAGGGCAGAACTTAGCTAGGCAGGGAAATAAACTGAATGCTGGGAGAAAAAAAGGGGGAGTTTGGAGAAGCCACAGAGCTGCCACCAGACAGACTCGCCGAAACTTTGCCAGTAAGGAAAAGTCACATGGCAATACACAATTAATAGAGATGGGTTAGTTTAGGATATAAAAGTTATCCAGAAATACACTTAAGCTATTGGACAAACAGTATTGCAAATAATGTGATTTCCGTGAGATTATTTCAGGAGTCTGGGTGGCTGAGAAACAAACAAGCAGCCTCCATACAACAAAGACCCATGCTCAGGATCTCACCTGTAAACAGAGACTTTGCCTCTTCACTCAGGATCGTGTCTTCACAGCCTGTGCTTACACTCAGACTCTTAGTGTTTCTTCCCAGATGATCATCTGTGGCTCCAGGTGCTTGTGTTTTACATGGATCTTCATTCCATAGTCCTGAGATTGTCCGTGTGGACCTGGGTCATTGTCTCAGCACAGTAGACCCCTTCTCCATGGGAAGAGACCCCTGTGGAGACCAAATACAGCAGGGCACTGACCCTGTCTACACTCCACGTTTACCTGTGTGCACACACTTCCATGGTACAGTTGCTTTAGGGAATAAACCACAGTAAGTAAGAGTTAAGAGTAACTAAATATAAAGCAGAATAAAATGATAGTTACATAATATCTCCCCCCCCCCACCTTCGCTCTCACTTTATGAGCTGATGAGAAGAGAGAGATGAACGTCACAGGCCTGTGGGACACTGGATCTGATAACAGTTGACTTCTGAGTTCCTCATTCATGTAGACTGTGGACAGAGGGTCATTCTCACGACACAATACACACTGGATAGTCTCGGTCACATTCGGTTCAATAGTGTGAAGAAAAATTAAATTTATTAATTTTTTGTTTCTCTGGAATTTTTTTACTTGCTGTCTTCAAATCGCAGCCACACACAACTGAAGTAGAAAGTGAAAGCAGAGGTGAGCAGGGCCTTCTTCCTGCAGGGAGAGTCACATATAACACAGTGTGTCGAAAGTGCTTAATCAGAGCTGTAAAAACCCCAGTCACCTCCAATGCTGGAGTTCACAGCAGCCCCGCACCCTCCAGGACTCCCACAGCACCTGTTTCCATAAACATCCATTTTAAGTGCTGTTGTATTTTACCTGGAAACTTCATGCTCTTAGGTTTCATCCTGACGAACCTGAGGAGCAGTTGTCCTTAGGCGGCTCAGAGACCCCACGACACACAGCGCTCCATCCCGCAGCACAGGGCTCAGGCAAAGTCTTGGTCCCCAGGAGGGTGAGGTGTGGGTGGGGAAGCCCAGGGCTGGGGATTCCCCTGTCCCCAGTTTCACTTCTCCAGCTCCTAACCTGGGTCGGGTCCTTCTGCCCGGACACTGATGACAATTCGGCGGTTCTCACCCCTATTGGGTGACGAGATCCCGGGGAACCAACCAGCATCGCCGCGGTCACCGGTTATAAAGTCCACGCAGACCGCGGAACCCAGAGTCTCCACAGATCCGAGATGGGGGCGATGGCGCCGCGCACGCTGCTCCTGCTGCTGGCGGCCGCCCTGGCCCCGACCCAGACCCGCGCGGGTGAGTGCGGGGTCGGGAGGGAAACGGGCTCTGCGGGGAGGGCGGGGGCGGCACCGGGGAAGCCGCGTCCCCCAGTGGCCCAGCCGGACCCTCCCGCCCCTTCTCCACCCGCGTCCCGAACTCCGCGCCCTGCTCCCCTCCCGGCCCGCGCTCCTGCCCGGGGTCCCGGGAACAGGGTCGGGGTCTCACCGCGCGCCGCCCCCAGGCTCGCACTCGCTGCGGTATTTCTACACCGCCGTGTCCCGGCCCGGCCTCGGGGAGCCCCGGTTCATCTCTGTCGGCTACGTGGACGAGAAGCAGTTCGTGCGCTACGACAGCGACGCGGAGACTCCGAAAAATGAGCCGCGGGCGCCGTGGATCGAGAAGGAGGGGCCGGAGTATTGGGAGAGGGAGACACAGATCGCCAAGGACACCGAGCAGATTTTCCGAGGGAACCTGAAGACCCTGCTCGGCTACTACAACCAGAGCGAGGGCGGTGAGTGACCGCGGTCGGAGGTCACGACCCCTCCGCGTCCCCACGCACGGGCCGGAGTCGCCCCGGGTCCCAGGTCCGAGGTTCAGGAGGAGAGCGGGGACCGGACCCGGTTTCCCTTCCGGTTTAGAGTCCGCGGGTGGGCGGGGCCTCGGGTGACCCCGGGGGCTGAACAGGTGGGCGGGGCTGACCGCGGGGTCCCCGCAGGCTCTCACACCATCCAGCTGATGTATGGCTGTGAGTTGGGGTCGGACTGGCGCCTCCTCCGCGGGTATGAACAGTTCGCCTACGACGGCCGCGATTACATCGCCCTGAACGACGACCTGACGACGTGGACGGCGGCGGACACAGCGGCGCTGATCACCAAGCGCAAGTGGGAGCAGGCTGGTGCTGCAGAGAGTTGGAAGGCCTACCTGGAGGACGAGTGCGTGCAGTGGCTGCGCAGATACCTGGAGAACGGGAAGGACGCGCTGCAGCGCACAGGTGCGGGGCCGCGGGCAACTCCTCCCTCTGCCCTCGGGATGGGCTCAGTCCTGAGGAAGAGGAAACCCTCACTGGGGTCATGCCCCTGTCTCTGAGGGCAGACAGGGTCCCTGGGTCTCCTGATCCAGCATGGCAGGGACCGCACTGACCTCCCAGGGCTCAGCCTTCTCCCTGGACAGTTCCACATCTGTCTCAGGAGGGAGGAGAGAGGATCCCGACATCACCAACAGTGGCTCCTTCAGTCTGCAGCCCCTGTCAGCCATGGCCTCTCCCAGGCCGGGTTCTCTGCCCACACCCAGTGTCTGTGGACTCTGACTCCTGTCATCTGAGTGTGTCAGCCCTTACACACCAGGACCGGAGTGTCCTTCACCTGATGGGAGACACGGACTCACTCTACCCTAGCCTGCTCCCCAGTTTCTAGAACTTTCCAAAGAATAAATTCTCCCAGATTCCTGTGTGTCAAGTTTGCATCCATCCCACACCCCAATTCTATCTCTTCCTAGAAGGGGTTCCCTGGACAAATAGTAAATTGTAGGTGTTTTTGTTTCTTTTTTTCTTTCTTTTCTTTTCTTCCTCTCTCTCTCTCTCTTTCTCTCTGTCTCTTTCTTCTTGTGGTCATTTTGCTTTAGGTTTTTCTTCCTCACTAGGACGTTATTCCTTCTCTCCCTCCCCTGTGTTATCATGTGTATCAGTCTCCACAGGTGCCGTGGGGACTATGGATAATGAGACAAGTTAAGTCAGGGTTCCCTTTAAATAAGAAAGATTCCTGGGAACTTAGACTATTTTCTGGCAGAATTAACCATCCAGAGACCCCTGCTCTCCCTGTGACCCAAAAAGTTACAGTGTAGGCCTAGTGAATTAGGAACGGGATTTCTTCAGAGACAGGGTCTTCTGCAATCCAGGACTGGAGTGACAGGGAAGATCCACACACCCTGTGACCACCGCTGTGTCCCATGAGTGCTGCACTGGGCTCCACAGCACACTCAGGGACCCTGGGTGACAATACCTGGTATCTTGTCCCCCCAGAGGCAGGGGTTTTCTCCGGCTGAGTGTCAGAGGTTCACCACAATTGTTGCACACAGTTTGGTGATGGCTGTTCACTTGGATTCACAGTTAAACTGGTCAGCAAGATGGCCACAGTGCTTGTTCCCCAATGGTGGCAGCAGGGGTTGGTGGCTCCCTTCATGTAGCCCGATCATCTTAATTTCTTATTCCTGTAGGAGTTTAATCAAAAATAAATCAATTATTTTCCATTTCTTCATCCTTTTACTACCTAACTTATGCTATAGAACATAACATAAGAGGACCATGTTGACCTTCTGGCTCATGTGGATTCCCTCCTAGTCTCTGGGTTCCCCAGGAAACTGTGCAGTTCTGTGATGAGGGGACCAGCTCTACCTGCAGGTCACTAGTGTGATGACAGAAGTGTTCAAACAGACACACAGTTCACCGTCATCATTGATTTAACTTTTTTTGAAGATTTCAATTTATCTTGTTAATTGTGAGATTTATTTAATCTTCCACACAGATCCCCCAAAGGCACATGTGACCCATCATCCTGGACCTAAAGGTGATATCACCCTGAGGTGCTGGGCCATGGGCTTCTATCCTGCCTTTATCGACCTGACCTGGCAGAGAGAGGAGGAGGAACAGACTCAGGATATGGAGCTGGTGGAGACCAGACCTTCTGGGGATGGAACCTTCCAGAAGTGGGCATCACTGGTGGTGCCTTCTGGGGAGGAGCACAAATACACATGCCATGTGCACCATGAGGGGCTGCCTAAGCCCCTCACCCTGAGATGGGGTAAGGAGGGAGTGGGTGCAGAGCTGGGGTCAGGGAAAGCTGGAGCCTTCTGCGGACCCTGAGCAGGGTCAGGGCTGAGAGCTGGGGTCATGACCTTCCCTTCCTGTCCTTCCCTTCCCAGAGCCTCCTAAGTCCACAGTCCCCATCATGGAAGTCATTGCTGGTCTGGTTCTCCTTGGAGCTGTGACCATCATTGTAGCTGTGGTGGTTGTTGTAAGGAAGAGGAGGAGAAGCACAGGTAGGAAAGGGCAGGGTCTGAGTTCTCTCTCTGCCCCTTTTAAAAGAATCTCTGCCTCATTAAAGGGAAACACATCCACATCCCTCATTGCTGCAGTCTCTAACCTGGGTCTGCCGTCAGTTCTGGAAACTTCCTAGACTGGGACTTCCCTGGTCTCACAGCTTTTCTTCTCACAGGTGGAAAAGGAGGCAACTATGCTCCAGCTCCAGGTAAGAGTGGTGGGCAGGATTGTCCCTGAGGCCTGTAGGGTGAAGCTGATGTATTTGGGGAGCTCTGGCAATACATAAGAGCTCCTGCAGTAAATCTTCTAGGGGCCAAATTTTTACCTTCCCATGAATATATATATATATATATATATATATATATATATATATATATTTTTTTTTTTTTTTTACCCCAGGCAGGGACAGTTCCCAGAGCTCCGATGTGTCTCTCCCAGACTGTAAAGGTGACCCTCTGGGACCTGACTTGGGGAGGGGCAGAGTGGACATGATTGGGTTTCAGGGACTCCCAGAATCAGCTTTGAGTGTGTGGTGGGTTGTTGGGATGTTGTCTTCACAGTGATTGTTCATGACTCTTGTTCTGTAGCGTGAAGACAGCTGCCTGGTGTGGATGGAGTGACAGACGATGTATTCATGTCTCTCCTGTGACATCCAGAAACCCCCAGTTCACTCTCAGCAATAGTGTCTGATGTTCCCTGTGATCCCATGGGCTCAACGTGAAGAACTGGGGAAGCCAGCCCACCCCTGCACACCTGACCCTGTCCCTGCACTGCCCTGTTCCCTTCCACAGCCAACCTTCCTGTTCCTGCAGACAGGAGGGGACATCTCCATCCTGTCTTCTCCATGCTGTCCTGAGCTGCAACCCTGACTTCCCCACTGAAATTAAGAATCTGAATGTGAACTTGATTGTTCATGTCCTTGATCTCAAAGGTTGACTGGTGGTAAAATAAAGGATTGAGATAGAGTTTGTGGAGGAAATAAATGGCAGCATGGAGAACCTCCCAGAATCTGTGTTCACTATGCTGTGTGCATCTGGTGGGACAGGATGAGGCTGTGGGAGCTGAGTGAGAACAGGGCTGTGGCCAGGTGGAGCTCAGTGCGTTGTTGGCTGTGACAAGGTCACTCCTCAGCTCTGTCCCCTCCTGGCTCAGTTCTCTTGGTCACTTAGAACCACAAGCTGACATCTGTGATCACAGGGACACTGGGATGGCCAGAGCCTTGTCCTGTCCCCAGGATTATGAGTCGCCAGAGCTGCTGTCCTGGCTGTGGCTCTTTCCCCTGTCTTTAGTGTTTATTTCTTGTCTTTTTAGTTAGTATGGAGGACTAGGCCTGTTCTTGTTCCTGTGAGTGGTGTCTGCCTCATTATCCTGTGGGGTCCCCGAGTGACAGCATTAAGAGGTGTTTTCCATCCTTGTCTCCTCAAGGCCCAACTAGGCCCCTGCACTCAAGAGACTGTGGGATGAGAACATGAGCTTTAGTCTCCTGAGCTCCTGTCTCCCTTCAGGCCCCTCCCAGGAGGTTCTCTCCTTCTTTCCCATCTATCAGAATCTAACCTGGGTTGTAGGATGGGCAGAGAGGAGGGATCCACAGGGTCTCATCTCAGATCCGTCCTATATTCTGCCCAAGGTCCCCTCTCCCTCTCTGCCTCTGGGAATCCTGGTGCTGCCTCCAGTGGAGACTCAAGGATTTACAGGATGAGTCTACTTTAGATTTATGTTTATTAAAAACCATGATCCAGGGACTGAAGAGATGGCTCAGGGCTTGAGAGCACTTGCTGCTCTTGCAGAGGACCCAGGTTCAGATCCCAGCACCCACATGATGGCTCATCACCATCCTTAACTCCTGTTCCATGACATCCAATGCCCCTCTGGACACCATGCAGATTCATGGTGCAAACACTACTAGCAAAAAAACAAACAAAAAAAACTCATAGATTGCAAAATTCATAAATTAAGATAAAATATTGTGGGGAATGCCAGAGATGGAAATTCCTTCATTCCCTGCTCCAGGTTCTGGCCTCTGCAGTTTTCTCTTCTAGCTTTGTGACGTCCAGTAGCCCTAGCAGAGATGTCTGATGACCAAGGAGGTGATCATCTCTGTCATGGGGCTGCCATCTTTATCTTGTGAGGGATGATGGGTCCCAGTGCTGACCACAGATAACATTCATGCACAATAAGTATATGAGGAATGAAGAAAATTAAAAATTAAATATAAGATTGCTTGTCAAAGAAGAGAGATGAAGGGAAAATGGTGGGACTTTCTGAGGAAAAGATCAGGTGACTGTGACCTCAGTGTGAGGGGACCTGGGGCTGCACGTGACACCCCAGCACTTGGCCTGAGGTTGATGGAGGTGGATCATCTGTCTATCTGTTGCTTTCATTGGTTAATTAATAAAGAAAATGCTTGGCCTTTGATAGGACAGCTGCTTAGATAGGCGGAGTAGACAGAACTGAATGCTGGGAAGAAGGCAGTGAGACAGTCACCATGACTCTCCTCTTTGACACAGACGCAGGTTAAGATCCTTCCTGGTAAGCTACCACTTCGTGGTGCTACACAGATTATTAGAAATGGGTCAATTGAGATGTGAGAATTAGCCAATAAGAGGCTGGAACTAATGGGCCAGGCAATGTTTAAAAGAATGCAGTTTCCATGTAATTATTTCGGGTGTAAAGCTAGCCGGTGGCCGGGAGGTGGGGCGGCAGGAACGCAGCCCGCCGCTCCTACTATATGAGGTTGTGTTAACAAAGAGCTTCTGTTGAAGAGGGAGGTGACTGTGAATTTTCCTCTGGACTGAAACTTCCCTGCTGGAGCCAGGAGGAGCTGATGAGGCTCAGGAAACACAAGAAGCTACAGGTTCACGGAGGTGACACAATGTAGCGCTTCCCTCTCAGGGTTAAACAAGCTGCAGTTCCTGAGGGAGAGGAGACTGTGGAGTGGAGCTGCTGGGAGCTGTGCAGGGGACTGCAGTGGTGCAGCTGTGTGAGCGGACATGCGCACTGGGGGGGCTGTCAGTGGTTATCCCCGACTCACCCAGGCTCCTGTGAGGGACCAGTGAGCTCAGGGCTCACGGAGCTGACTGTGGATGGATGTTTTCCTTGGTCTGCTGTCACTGTCTCCGTCTGGGTGGAGGAAATCTGCTCCTCAAGCAAGGGACACAGCTGTGTGAATTGTTTATGTAAATTGTTCTATCATTAATAAATCTCAGAAGTCAGATATTGGGGTAAAACCTGGTAGGTCAAGAAAGCAACAGAAGAAAAACCAGCTGACCCTCTCTCTATATGCTTCCCACATTGATATCCCCATAAATCTTTATAGGCCCCGCCCTTCTCTTTTCTCCGCCTCTCTATCTTATTGTATCCTGGGTCCTCCAAAACCTCTATGGCTAATTCCAGACAGCTGGTTCTTGACTGTGCCCCCTGATTCAAGGATAACTTTATTAACAATCTTCAGTTTCACAGTACAATTAAATATCCCTCGACATTTCCCGTTTGTCTAAATAAATAAAAAGGAAAAGTATTAACTCTAACATAGTGAAACTATGTACAATAAGAACAATTATTAGGTAGGAATTACATTTACATGTGGTGGTGGTGGCACACACCTTTAATCCCAGCACTCAGGAGGCAGAGACAGGTGGATCTTGTGAGTTTGAGGCCAGCCTGGTCTACAGAGTAAGTTCTAGGGCAGGCTCCAAAACTACAGAGAAACCCTGTCTCAAAACAAAACAAAACAAAAAACAAAAAGCAAACAGAATTACATTTAAATGTCCAATCCATTTGTATTTGATAAATTCTGAGAAATTATTATCTATGATACCTTAAAGTTTTACACATAAACCACTTTCTAATATAACTTGTGTTACTATCCTAAAACTATCTTTTTAGACCTTAGACATTTCTAAGATAACTATGTCAAGCTCATGTGTCTCTCAACCTTATAAACTTTACATCTCTTTTCTAAGTTTCTTTTCTGAATTTGGTAACAAAGAAAATGGTTTAACTATCTAATTTTCAACCCCATTAGAGACATGAAAAGAATAAACATTGCCTGAATATGCAGGAAGTGTGGCACAAACAACTTCCTTTTTCTTTTGTTTTGTTTTGTTTTGTTTTTTGAGACAGGGCTGCTCGGTGTAACAGCCCTGGCTGTCCTGGAACTCACTTTGTAGACCAGGCTGGCCTTGAACTTCTGTCCCACAGCAGGTGACTCTTCTGACATGAGACAGAGATTTGTATTTCCCATTAACAAGCCTGCTTGAGTTTAGAGAAGAAGAGAGACACACTCCAACTCAAAAGACAGCTTTAATTTTTAATTGAACTGGGACTACAAAAACACCATTTGCCTTATATGTCTGTAGAGAACATAAGCACAACATCTGGGAAGATTGATGAGAATTTGTTCTATTGGGTTTGTGCTATCCCATCAGGTCAATTACTCTCTCCCTGAGGATTCATCCTCCTTCTTCAGATGTCTCATCTGTCCAGTGGTCTTCAGATTCCTTTATTGGATGCTTGCTTTTATTCTCCTGGAAAGAAAAACCAGAACCTTTCCCCAACCCTACCTTTGGGGAGTTCCCATTTTTTTCCAGGTTTTGTCTGATCAAATGAAAGGCATTGGTCAGTCTTATAAGTCAGTTTAGACCTAATGACCACGATGTTTGTTGAATTATCACCTCTCATAATCAAGAGGTTTCTCCTGCTCAAATCAAAACTTTGTCCTTCTTGATGGAATCCACAGCTTTCTTCCCCTGTGGAAACAAACGCAGAACCCCTTCCCCAACCGAAAACACACCCTGGTTTCCATTCTGAGGTCAACTCATCTTTATTCAGGCTGACTTAACTGGGCAGTTGTTTCTATTACCCGCTGTCTCTCAGCAGCTGACATCACTTTCTCGTTAGCATTTAAAATGTTACAGGTAACAGAGCATTGTGTGATCTGTCTCTGGGTCTTTATTACTCCTTTCTGTTTATTAAGCAGAGCTCTTAAAGTGTGATTAGACCTTTCTATATCTGTTTGTCCTGTAGGGTTGTGTGGTACACCTGTAATATGCTTTATGTTATAATATGGAAAAACCTGTTTTATTTTACAGGAGACATCTGCTGAAGTGTTGTCTGTCTTAATTTGTACAGATATCCTCATGATGTAAGTGTGTAATTACAGAACCAGCCTTGTCAGAACCCAGACCAGTTGCCCATGTCAACCCTGAATATGTATATGATATGGTGCACATACTGCCATTTTCCAAACCTTGCAAAATGAAACACAACCATTTGCCGAAATTCATTTCTTTGGGTTCCTTTTGGGTTATTTCCTGCAGGTAATGGAGTTTGGTTATACAAAGAACATGTAGGACCTTTCCTTATAATTCCCTTGGCTTTTTGCCAAGTGACAGAAAAAAACCTTATTAAACATTTTCTGGTAACATGGTGTTTTTATGAAATTCTGA